AGAGAAATGTGAGATGTGAGGACGAGAGAAGAGCAACTGCAGCGAGAGAGTGCAAGCGTCTCGATGAACTGATGCAATGTGCGCCGCTGCTGCTGGCTGTACCGTTCTCTCTGCTTCGGCAGTGCAGCGAAAAACACACGCGGTTGGGGTCGGTCGCAGATGAGGGGTCCGGTGGCGGCAGCTTCTCGAAGCTTCTTCAGCTAGGACTTTCTAGAACATTCCACCAGATTGAAGGCAAATCTAGAACTGGTAGCGGATGAACATTTAAACGATAAGAAAAAAGAATGTTAGTTGTGAAGGTGAACGATTAAAGGCTCACTCAACAAAACACACTTACCACCAGGCGTGTTACAACCCGTCTTCTGCGGACGGTGCGCGGCTGCTGCGGCGTGAGAGTCACGTGCTTGTTTTGGATTCTTTTGCTGTCTGTGTGTTTTGGATCCAGCATTCCAGCACTTCTATCTTCGGATTCTTCAAACATCTTCACAGCATGTCCACGCCGCTCACCTTCGAAGGGAGCAACTGCTTTCGGCAGCGAATCGTCCTCGCCACGCTGACCGGCCGTCGCATCGTCATCTCCCGCTTCCGCGACAAGGTGGGCGCCCAGTACGGCATCGCCGACTACGAGGTGGACCTGCTGCGGCTGCTGAACAAAGTGACCAACGGCGCCGCCTTCACCATCGACCAGAAGGGCACCCGCGTCAGCTACCGACCGGGCCTCCTGTCCGGCGGCGAGGTGAAGCACAACTGCAGCCTGAAGCGGGCCATCGGCTACTACCTGGAGACCCTCCTCCCGCTGGCGCCCTTCTGCAAGACGCCCCTCGTGGCGAACCTCCACGGCGTGACAAACGATTCGGTCGACCCCTCCGTGGACGCCCTTCGCCTCTCGGCCCTCTCCGTTCTGCGCCACACCCTCGGCGGCTACCTCGACGAGGACGCCCTGCAGATCAAGATCCTCGCCCGCGGGCTGAAANGCGCCGCCTTCACCATCGACCAGAAGGGCACCCGCGTCAGCTACCGACCGGGCCTCCTGTCCGGCGGCGAGGTGAAGCACAACTGCAGCCTGAAGCGGGCCATCGGCTACTACCTGGAGACCCTCCTCCCGCTGGCGCCCTTCTGCAAGACGCCCCTCGTGGCGAACCTCCACGGCGTGACAAACGATTCGGTCGACCCCTCCGTGGACGCCCTTCGCCTCTCGGCCCTCTCCGTTCTGCGCCACACCCTCGGCGGCTACCTCGACGAGGACGCCCTGCAGATCAAGATCCTCGCCCGCGGGCTGAAACCGGACGGCGGCGGCCACGTCCTCTTTCGGTGTCCCACCCGGCGCGTTCTAAAACCTCTCCAACTGCTCGCCCCCGGCAAGGTGAAGCGCATCCGGGGCGTCGCCTACGCCGTCCGTGTCTCGCCCGCCATCGCCAACCGCCTGGTGGACGCCGCCAAGGGCCTGCTGCTCCACTACCTGCCCGACATCTACATCTACACGGACCACCTGAAGGGGGCGGCCAGCGGTCGTTCGCCCGGCTTCGGCCTCTCCCTCGTCGCCGAGACCACCGAGGGCGTCTTCTACGTCGGCGNGGCGAGGCCGTCTCGAGGTCGGCCAAGGAGGCAGCCTCAGAAGGCGGCGTCAGCGTGCCCGAAGAGGTGGCCAAGGAGGCCGCCCACGCCCTCCTCAATGACATTTACCGCGGCGGCGTCGTCTCCACCGCCAACCAGGGGCTGGCCGTCCTCTCGATGGCCTTCGGCGACCGCGACCTCTCCAAGGTCCTCTTGGGGCCCCTGTCGCCGTACACCATAGCGCTGCTGCGCCACCTGAAGCAGTTCACGGCGCTTACCTTCAAGTTGGAGCCCTTCAGAAAAGAACTTGATGGCGCCGAGGAAGAGATGGATACGGACGAGGAGGATGGGGAGAAGCTGCTGACCGGTTCGCGAAAGATTGTCGCCGCCTGCATCGGCATCGGTTACTCCAACATTAGCAAGACGGTGAGGTAGTGAGTAGGTTGTGGAAGTTCATCATCGACCTGTAAATAAGCGATTTCTGTACATTAAAAGACGACCTTCACACACATAATAGCTGGTGGTAGTAAGTGGGGATAAAAATGAGGCCCTCTAGGCGGCCAACTCCTCCTCCGCCGGCCCGAGCATCTTCTCCGGACGCACCCAGGCGTCAAACTGGTCGCCGGTGACCAGGCCCAGCTTCGCCGCCGCCTCCTTCAGCGTGACGCCCTCCGCGTGGGCCGTCTTCGCAATCAACGCCGCCTTGTCGTAGCCAATGTGCCCATTGAGCGCCGTGACCAGCATCAGCGAGTTGCGCATCAGCTCGCCAATCC